TACAACCACTCCCTAAATTTAAAAAAACAAACACACACACAAAAAAACATTGTGCATGAAGTCTGCTTCACACAGGTGAGTGGGCTTGACAAACCACATGTAGAAGCATTCTTAACAATTTTTTTGTATAATTAGCACATCTTGGGTGTATTGCCTCTTCTTGTTGATTTGCTGAATGTGCCATCAATTGTAAGTCACTTTAGACAAAAGAGTCTGATAAATGTTAATGTAACTACTGTAGATTCATAAGGTGGTGTTGCACATCAAGGTTTGTGCTTCATCATGTCCAGCATCCTAAAAATGTCAAGTAAAAAAATAAAAAGTTTACCAACAGATCAAAGGTGAAAGGAGGAAATAGTTTAAGAGGAAAATGCAAAATGTAAAAAAAGTAAAAAAGTAAATGGCTTACCGTGTACTCCCTCACAAGGGCTTTGAGAATGCATTCACACCTTTTTTTCCACTGGTGATGTTCTAAACGACATGAAATGACAATTAGTAATTTACTAAATAATTAGTAGTTAAAATTACTAGTAATTTTTACTGTACATCATTTTAATGCGTGTCTAGGCATCTAAAGGCATAGTACCTGGATGATCCACAGTCTTCTCAATTAGATATGGGACAGAGGCTGAGCTGTAAACCTGAGGGAGAAAAAAGATGCGAGTGAGCAAAGATTTGTAATAATAAAATATAATAATATAAATATATAGCATTTAGAATAATATATTTATAATAATAAAAATAAAAAAATAAAAAACTGCAAACTACTAAACTTAAAAGTTTAAATGTGTTAGATGACCAAACAAATAAGCTTACATTAAATATGTCATCATGCTAGATGTCATCCTATTTAAGCGTCACATATGCTTGTGCCAACACCACCTTTTAATTAATATTATGTAAGTTATCAAAACTGGCATTAAAACTTGACAAACTGCTTGACACTCATTTAAAATTAGACTATTTCTTACTCCCAACGTTTGCAACTTTATTTTGGGGTTAATATATACCAAGTATAAAATTTCACAGGGATGCAAAAAAACTAGAAATTAATCTGCCTTTAATGTGAAAAAGACACAGGAAACATGACAATTTCATAACAATACTATACACAAACACAACATAGTATTACAAGGAAGTTCATTAGTGATTCAAATATTGTAACAGCCTCAGTATGAATACATACAAAGTAAAAAAATCTCACCTGCGTCCACATTAAGGAAAGCTTTCTGTGCACGTTCTCAATTTGTACTGTAATCTTCATCTTTTGATTCCCATATTATGGCGCCGATCTAAACGAGCTGAGAGTGATCGTTGTGGTTTGAATCTTCTTACTTCGTGTTGTTTTGAAACTGCGCATGTGCAGATGTTACTCCACCTATTGACCAAAATGCAGTACTGCAGAAGCAACACAACTCCCTTTCATTCATGTTAATTAAGCAAGCTGTTTAAATGTGAAAACTTACTTTTTCTAATTTTTTCCAACATAACACTTTTATTTTTAGTACACAAACATAAGCAAATTGTTTAATTTAAACATAGTTATATTCTTTGGACCAACAAAAGCCAAAATTCATTTTTTTGAGTGTATCATGAAAAAATACTGCTATATTGATGTGTATATCGCACTTCCAACCAGCCGCGTATCTGATCTAGACTTTACCAAAGGCCTTTCAGGTAGTATGCTCAGGCATTCTGTCTGAATGGGGAAACATCAAAGGTCACGTGTACACTGTCAGGTCTTGATGTCCAATTCCGATTAGTTGCCTATATCTGTTTATTTGCCTGTCCGTTTACACATTCTTTTAGGCCACATTTCCACTGCACTGTTCAAGTGACTCAATTCCAATTTTTTTCTACCATGTGGCACAGATCGGATATGACCCATGTATGTCAAAACAGGAACAAATCACATGGACTCCGATGAAGGTTTTTGAAAAAGGATAAAAAGAGAAAGGTATTGTTGGAATATCAAGCCAATTCCATGCGTGTTCAAGAAAAAAGGTCAGGAGAGGTTTTTCTTCAATGTCAAAAATCGTAACAATTTATTGGATACAAATGAATAATTTGATGACAGAGCTCTTGGTTACGTTACCCCAATGCAATACAAGAATTACATTCAAAAGGTTCACAACTAACTTACATTTCCTGACTCCAGCATATATACACAACTGATATTAACAGGTGGAGTTTTGGTGTAACGTCATTTGTCAGTCATTGTTCAGTCCTCCATTGGCCGCACCCCAGACATACTTCCTCTTTTTCTATGAATTCTCTGCACAACAAAAAAGCATACAACTTTCTGTGCTCTGTGTTCAGTTTTAACACCTCACTTCAGACAGGAAGTTTCTGCAGAGCTGAATTTAATTTTGGACCCGCATCTATCTACTTATTTAAAAATGCTAATTAGTATGCACAGCACTCACACACAACAGTAGAAGTTCAGTTAATATATGACCCTTACATGACCAATACAAATAATTGTTTGATTAAAAGAAAAAGAGACAAAAATAATAAAAAAATGATTCCTATTTTACAACAGTATGATGAAATTTTAATGGCTATTTGCAGTACTAGGTTGTTGTTGTTGTTGTTTTGTATTTGCAGTACTATGATTTTTTTTCTTTTTTTTGCTTTGGGTCTATGTTACAAAATGAAAAGGTACAAATGGAATCAAACATATTATTTTTCAAAGATGCCAAACGGATCAAATTTGTTTCATGTAAAAAGAAGAGATAGGTAAAAGAATAAATAAGTTTAAGTAATAAACGAATGATGTATGGGGTAATGGGGTGGGAGAATAATAAGCTTATGCTTCATCCCACTCCATTTTCGACCATGTTGAAATGTATTTCTTTTTGTTAATGACATTTTATGTATCAAATTTTTGTTCGAAAAATAAATAAATCAAATCAAAATCAAATTTACTCAAATCAGATTCAGGCCTTGTTCATATGTGGACATTTATCCGATATGAATCGGATCTGTGTTCAAGTGCCTGCAGTGTAAGCAGGTAGATCAGATTTTCACCTGTCAATGTGAGTCGCGCGTCATTAAAAACCATAGCGAATGACGTCGATTCTGAAGCTTTCATTTCAGAACAGACTTCAGCAGATTCACAAACCTTAAATCTCATACACAAGGACTTAAACAGCTTTTATATTGTCATATAGCACAGGTATTTAAGCATGTTAACGAGAGCGAGAGAGCGCAATGTCCACCACGTAACCAATATAAACTAATATAAAACTAGTGCATACATAACGTGCATAAATCATGCCATGGACATTACACAGTTGGGAACGTGTAAACCAACAGGCAAAAAAAAATCAGATATAGGCAACAAATCAGAATTAGACATCAATACCTGACAGTGTAAACTAGGCCAAATATATAGAAATATGTTTGAAGTGTACTGGGCCTTAAAGCACAATGTAAATCACAAGTGTATCATTTAGAGGTGGCACAGAAAGTCATGGTTAACGTCGAGGCAGTTGTAGTGCTGGTCCAGAGTCAGAGCCTAGTTCCAAATCAGTTCACCGGCTCTGAAACAGGTAAAGTGTTTGTTTAGGTAGAACTAAACAGTGCTGGGCTACAAGTAAGAACTGCTTGGTTCAGGGGCTGAGGGTGGTGTTAGTGTGGCCAATGAGACTAACAGAAACGATTTTGGATGACATATTTGAAATAGCAGTGGAAGATAATTCCAACGATTCAAATAATGTTACACTGCTGAAACACGTTATGCTGGGTTCATACCAAACATGGAATTAGGTATTCGTGCAATTAAGCTGCAATTAAAATCAACGCTTTTCAACGGCAAGGTCAAAAAAGAAGAAAAATAACATAGAAAAGAGTGATGTGTTCAGTCCTGGAGGAAAACTCTAGACTATTTTTCATGCTTAAACAACACCACCCGCAGTGCAAAAAACAAAATAGGAGCCCTTTAAGGCTGTCTTTATTTGACAGATGGCTTACAGTGATGGAGGAGGACCATTTAAGCCCTGTTTACAAATCAAATTAACATCCATCTTGAGCAATTCCTTCACAAGTGGTCATCAGAGACAGACTATTCACACCTGCCGTTTACATCTTAAAAGAGTCTCCTATGACTGGATATGATTTCATCTGTGTGTGTGTGTGTGGGGGGGGGGGGGGGTATTTATAAGGACAGTTAATTAATTATAATAATTCCTTATATTTATATAGCGCTTTTCTGGGCACTCAAAGTGCTTTACACAGTGGGGGGAATCTCCTCATTCACCACCAGTGTGCAGCATCCGCCTGGATGACGCGACGGCAGCCATTTTGCACCAGACCGCACACCACACACCAGCTGATTGGTGGAGAGGAGACAGAGTGATGATATGCCAATTATGATATGGGGAGAGTTAGGAGGCCATGATGGACTGAAGCCAGTGGGCAGATTTGGCCAGGATGCCGGGGTTAAACCCCTACTTTTTTTCAAAGGACATCCTGGGATTTTTAAGGACCACAGAGAGTAGGGACCACGGTTTAACTGAAAGACGGTGCTCACTGAGCAGTATAGAGTCCCCGTCACTATACTGGGGCATTAGGACCCACACAGACCACAGGTTGAGCGCCCCCTGTTGGCCCCACTAACACCACTTCCGGCAGCAACCTAGCTTTCCCATGTGGTCTCTCATCCAGGTACTGACCGGGCGCGGCCCTGCTTAGCTTCAGTGGGCAACCATGTGAGAGTTGCAGAGAGCTAGCTGCCGGCTATTGTATAATGACATGGGAAGAAGATAGTTGTACTCTATTACAGTGTTTTATGAAGACATGCCTAGAGTCCTTGTAAATCAAAAAGCCTCAAAATCCTACTTAACAGGCTCTTTTGACCTTAACATTTTGACAGTTTTCCTTAGAGGGTTGGGTTTAGGGGTAGGTCCTTGTAATAAGCGTTTTTTTACTGTATAAAATGGATTACGCCTATGGGGAGCCCCCTGTAAACATAACACCAACATGTGTGTGTGGCGTACCGCACTGGAGAAGCCTGTTCTGTCCTGTTTGGCAGCCGCTGCCTGGTATACAGCCATGCGGTTCTTCAGCGGGACGGGTTCGGAGAGAGCGCTTTCGTCGAGCGCACCTGTCCCGGATGCTGCAATGCTGCCTGCAGGTGCAAATAAATCAAAAGACAATGAACAAATTAGACTCATATATTTTCTGAAGACAAAAGTATGCTGAAAGCTCATACAAAAAGAAGGAAGCCACAATAGAGCTGGTCAATTTTGATATGGTTTTCAGGGCAACAATCCAGAAAATCTTAGGATGTTGCTGAGAGTTCCCTGTGGTGCTCGAGGTGGTTGTTAACCACGTTATATGTTTTTTTTAAAGGGTCACAAAACACCAAAACATACCTAATGTTTTTGAGCTGTTGACAGTCGTACATGTGTCCCACAATGCTAAAAACACTATTAGGACACCTAGATTTCACTAAAAAGTGTAAATTGGTTGTTTTTGCGTTATTTCAAGCAAATTCGTACTTCTGGTTTGAAACGAATTTTTGAAGCTGCGTCACGGTCATGACATAATAGCCTCTATTCCAGCGTGCAGACTGGGTGTCTGTGCCAGAGAGAGTCTTATTACGTCCTACAGTGTGATGCATTAATGCATGAGTAAGGCTTGGTTCAAATCAATTAGCGTGCTCTATTGTGCAACTTCATTAATATTCATTACTTTCACAGTTTTTAGACGACAGAGACGCCACGTTGTGTTGGCAAAACAAGCATGAAGTGTTGCTTTTATAGTTTGCTGCAGTTAAGTTTTGTTTTCATTTTCTCTCTGTGAGAGCTCAGAGTCACGTGTGGATTAACAGTGTACGCGACGCTCGACAACAATAACTTACGTGTCTAAGGAGGAACATTGTTTACATGAGAGCTGTTCTCATCTGCAAACATTGAGATCCGGATTCGCTTGTTGTCTCCTCTTAATAAAGACGCGGCTCTAGTTGCTGTTGATTGTCCTGTCTCTACAGATTTGGTAAGTGAGCGAGCAGTGCTCTTTGTTTATTCAGTTTGTTCATATCTAACAAACTATTGCACCGAGTGTAAACATGTTAGCACCACAACCAAACTTTAACCTCGTGTAGGGTTTTTACCGCATTTTGTGACCGGAATAACACACGCGGCTTTCTGACACTACCTGCCGTATGCATCTAAGTTTCCGGGAAATGCTGAGGTTTTTTTTTCTCTTATTCGCCGTGCGGTATCAAACATTGCATGAAAAATACACGCTTAGAGCAGTTCCTCAAATCAAATATCTCGTTTGTCGCAAGGGGCATGAATGAATTCCCTGAATGAAAGAGCCAAACTGCAGTTAAAGTCCACCATTTAATAATTTGGCAAATAATTCGACTACAGATGTCCATGTAGGTTAAACACCATCACTTTCTACTGTGTGTGTGTATTTTGACTCTGAAACTCGCGCGTGCCCAAATAGACACTCCGACACCATCCCACTTTTCTTCCTCTGACACTCCCCCCCTAAACAGAGCTGGACACGCCCACTTTTCTGACTTTTTCCAAAGTAGAGGTGTGAAAACTGCTGAAACGAGGGGGTTTCATGGCCCTTTAACTGGTTTCAAGGGTGTTTTTGGAAGTTGCTAAAGTCAGAGGCCTATTGAATAAAACAGGTTTAACAAACTCTGGGTTGCATAGTAAGTTTCAGGTTGACAAACCAAACAAATCCAGACTGTTAAAGATCAGGTTAAAGGATTTCACACTGCTTATTATGAACTTTTTATGTTAACACAGCGTTTTAAGCCATGGTCACACTAGAGTTTGAGCAAGTGAAATTATGTCTTGTTGCGGTATAAACAAAATGATTAGAGGTTAAAAAGTGAGCGATTGTTCCATAGTTTAAATTTCTGTACTGAGAGGTCATGTTTTGATCTACTGGTTTCAACAACTAATCAACATAATCAACCTATTATTATTTTTTTATTAGGAAAAAAGGTACACAATTTGAGATGATACAAATACAAAAACTATGAAACAATAACAAAAATACCAAAAACAACAACAATACAGTCAAATACTGGCAGGTGCGTGTGTTTGTGCATGTGTGCATGTATGTGTGTATATGTGAAGGAAACTTGGTAAACGGTTCAGGGTACATACAAAAGGAACAGTAACAGGAACAGGAAAGGAAAAAAAAACAGATAGAAAGAAACCAGATAGTCAGTGATGAGGGACAACAATGCTAGTGATATAATGACAGTGATAATGACAGTAAACAAGCAAGAGAGGACAACAGCAATAATCATAAACAACAACCACAACAATGATAATAATAAGAATAAATCACAAGTACTACACCAACTACTACTTCTACTGCAGACAGTTTCTAATGTTAAGACTATTACTACTGCTACTACAGCCACAACCACTACTACTTCTACTACTACTACTACAATGTCTACTACTGATACCATTACAACGACTACTACATCTACTACAGCAATGTCTGCTACTACAACAACTACATCAACAATGTCTACAACTTCTACTACTAGTACAATGTCTACTACTACTACTGATACCATTACAACGACTACTACATCTACTACTGATACTACTACAGCAATGACTGTTACTACAACAACTACATCAACAATGTCTACTACTTCTACTACAATGTCTACTACTACTACTACATCTACTACTGATACTACTACAGCAATGACTGCTACTACAACCAATGCATTGAAAACTCTACTACTTCTACTGATACCATTACACCATTACAACGACTACTACAACTACTACTGATACTACTACAGCAATGACTGCTACTACAACAACTACATCTACTACTACTGATACTATCAGATATAGATATGTGACAATGCGACTGTCATGTAATTAGGCAGATCGAATTTATTGAGGCATTCCGTTCTTTACATCATTAAACTTGTGACAATGTGGTGTTTCTCTGCGGTTTAATGACAGAAAGAAGAGCGTGTGTGGAGATGCCGACGCGGTAAACAACATCAGAGAATACACAGAGGAGGAAAGTGGTCAGTCGCCACAATTTGCTTCCATCAGACCCGAGAACTCTCTCGTACCCACAAATTCCTCTGAATGGTGGAGGACATCATAAAGCATATAAACCATAAGCGCAAGCTGCGATGACGGCCCTTTCCCACCTCCGCCTCAAAATCATGTTAAAGTTGGGCGAACTTCGGGTTGTAACTTTTGCTTTTTGTCGCTATTAAGACACGCACTGTGGGCTACACATAGAATAACTTTATTCTCTCCAACACCAGTGTGCGCAGCACTGCGCACACAGGCTACATCTTCAACTACACACACACATCAGAGCCATACCATTACATAAACTGCGTGGGGTAAATCCGGACTAAACCATTCACTGCTTATACTACACTTCGCATATTTCGCAGAGCTAAAAACAAGACAATTACTTCCATCGTGACTAGTGTGGCACAGATGCTAGCACCCGCCTTTATGCATGCACGACATCGTAAATTGTATGGGAAGTGTAAACGCATGAATAAGATATGGGTCACGATTAAAACGACGTGTAAACAGACAGGGAAACAAATCAGATATAGGCAACTAATTGGAATTGGGCATCAAGACCTGACAGTGTAAACGGAGCCTTATACTGTGCAGACCAGCTCCTGATTGGTGCGCCGATTGAGTCACGATAATGATTGACAGCCCCTTCGACCAATGGTTGCACAACTAAAACAGGACAGGATACACAGCAGAAGAGAGAGAAGAGAACGCAAAACAGAAAACAAACAACAAAACACCACAAAACAAACGTGAAACGTAAGAATATGATGTTTGATTCCTCTGCGTACCACTAAAAATAAGCCACAGTTTGAGAACCAATGATATATGTTATTTATGATCAGGGCTTTACATTAACTTTTTTTAATCACCAGCCACTGTGGCTAGTAGTTTTCCAATGTCACTAGCCACTCTGCATGTTCACTAGCCACAATTTTGTTGTTGGGAAAATATATTTTATATGCATAAATTTGACGTTGACATGCTAAAATTACTTGATTTAAATTTTGTGTTATCTCCACATGCGTCCTCATTCATTTTTGTGTTTCGAGTATGAGCTTGCTCAATGAGCATGAGCAAATGGGTCATGGTTTCATAGTGTTATATTCCAATTAGTTTTTATTTCACATTTTTTAGAGCTCAAAACTAACGATTTAACAAATTTATCTCTATAACCACACTAGGCAAGGCAAGGCAAGGCAAGTTTATTTATATAGCACATTTCATACACAGTGGCAATTCAAAGTGCTTTACATAAACAAGAATAAAAGAAACAAGTAAAATTGAAATAAAAACAAATAATCGTAAAAACAAAACAAAACATAAAAACAGGTAAAATGTGATATAAAAGAATGAAGAAGAGAAAAACATGATAGTGCAATTTGTCGGACGCAGCACAGTGCTCATTTAGTAAAGGCACAGCTAAACAGATGTGTTTTCAGTCTTGATCTGAATGTGCCTAATGTTGGAGCACATCTAATCATTTCTGGAAGCTGATTCCAGCAGCGAGGGGTATAGTGGCTAAAAGCCGATTCACCCTGCTTTGACTGAACTCTTGGAACTTCTAGTTTGTATGATCCTAAAGATCTGAGTGATCTGTTGGGTTTGTATTCAGGGAGCATATCTGTGATGTATTTAGGTCCTAGGCCATTTAGTGATTTATAGACCAGTAATAATACTTTAAAATCTATTCTGAATGTAACTGGCAGCCAGTGTAGAGACCTGAGGACAGGTGTGATGTGCTCTGATTTTCTGGTTCTGGTTAGAATTCTGGCTGCAGCGCTCTGGATGAGCTGCAACTGTCTGACTGTCTTTTTAGGAAGACCAGTGAGGATTCCATTACAGTAATCCACCCTGCTGCTGATAAAAGCATGAACAAGTTTTTCTAAATCTTCACTAGAAACAAAGCATCTGATTCTTGCTATGTTTTTGAGATGGTAGTATGCTGATTTACTGACTGCTTTGACATGACTGTTGAAACTCAGATCTGACTCCAGAGTTACACCAAGATTCTTGACCTTCTTCACTAAACAATAATTATTTCTTAGCCACAAATTTTTAATGTGTCCAAACA